TCAATTGAATTAATTTTATTATTCAAATGAATATCTTTTTCAGAAGAAAGGTATCGTGGTTTTGAAGCCAGCTATAATCAAACATTACTTATTCATATTAAGACTTCATACCATTTCAGTTTATTAATTCTTCTCAAGCATACCAGTCAATTCACTGAAAAGAAAGGGAACATTTTGTTGCCATTGTAAGTTTCATTTGAATAGTTCTGATTCTGATCAAAGGAATATCAATCTTCTTTCCCAGAGGAAAGCTGTGATGGCAAACAAAAATATCTGAATCATATCTCGGTCAATTCATAGAAAAATGCTGTTGCCATTTGTAAAGCCTGTAAAATATAATTCAAAGAATTCTGATATCAATTCAAGAGCACAATAATCAATGCCATAAATACACATAGGTGTACTTCCCCCCTCAAATATTTATCCTCATGAAGTATTCCATCGTCACGCGCAATATTTCACTCCGATCTATTGTTGCCGGTGAATCGTAGACATATTTCTTTGTGTTCGTGGTGGATGCGCTTGGATGGGTAGCTATGAGGACCACCGAGCGTGCAACCATTGACACATTTGGTTCTGAAGGTCGGGAATAAGCGGATCTAGCTCTGACAGGGTGTTTAGAACGGCTTAGGGAAGAGGACTTTGTAACACGTTGGTTTATAAATGGTAGTGCACTCCAGTCATTGGTTTACTGTGTAGTGGTTAATATACAGCATATTTGGAGTTAGGATGTGGTGTGATAGAGTGGTTTCTTTCCAGACAACCTTGAGGCAAGTTGATTATCATTTTGTGTTGCCATGGATATTTATATGTAAATATGATATTATTGAATACTGATTTCTTGGGTGTTATTGATGGAAAACCATTTAGGTGCAGTACTGCACATGCTTCTTTTTAATATTTGTTTGTTTCCTGGTTTATCTGTTATTTTATTTTGTCTCTATATCATTCATGTCGGCGTGTAAATATTTAAAGACAAATTAATATTAATTTTGGGAAATTCATCATTACCTATACCTACTGAATTAAGGTAACAGATGTGTTCAATGGTCTTTCAATTTGGACCAAGTATTATTGATTTCTGTTTGTGTATTCTGCTAAGTAAGGAGTACAACTGTCACAACTTAATCCTATTATGAAGTGTTTGTTTACATTTTACATGTAGTCCCACTATATAGACTTCCATGTTTGATATATCCCACGTACCCTAAGCCATTGATGTGTGTTTTGGTATCCCGATCTGTGCACTCTACTCAATCCATCAACAGCGGTGCATCTGATTTAGGTTCCCCTCATCCACGAACAAGTTGTATTGATCCCTGCGATAATTGCTCACGACCGTGGAGGCGCAAATCCGGGCGAAAGTGCGGAGCGCCGGGTACCGCTGTGGTCACCCAATCAATTGAGCACTTAGACGTGACAACAGTAGGCCATTGAACATGTATGTCAGGGTCCACTAGTACATACATGTACATGGATGGATATTCAGCATCGATCTTAGCCTTGTGTTTTATTTCAAGGGATAGATCATTTCTTTCGTCTATATGGCTGATTTTCAACGGAACAGAGTTTAGTAGTTGTCAATTCTGTTGCTATGGCATGCAGCCATAAAAAACTAATCGTTTAATCAAATTATGAAAATGCAAGCATTACTTCAAACAAACAAAATTTGTTATTCCTAGCTCATTTTTCCTGATTAAGGTTTCATACTAAAGGGCAGAAAAGGAACTTTCAAGAAATGTGATTTTTTTTTCCCCCTTTGAAATTCAGATACCGCCCACCAAATGACTTTTTGGTACCCTTTCTTCAATTGATTTTAATCACTCATGCGTGAATATATGCATCATATGAGTTGCATCAAATGAAAGAGGAGGATCTAAGCTTTACTAATATGTGTCATTTATTAATTATGATAGTGATTAAGATATGATAAAACATCAATAAATCTCTGTTTCATTTTTTCTGGGACGCACTGTATAAATAAACATAACATTATTATTATTATGATATGCTAAATGGTGTCAAAGCTAAGAAAGTGTGTTCTAGTTATGATGACTTCCATTGCTTAGAAAAAAGCATGCTGGAAAATACAAACGGAAGAAGAACGAAAAGTAATTTGATCACCACAGTAGGGATCCAAAAATAGATGATCTTGAAAAGTTAGGTTATGAAACGACCCAAAAATATTCTACACTCGGTATCAGTCAGCATTACTCCGGAATACCCCACCTCAGGAGAACTAGAAGTGATGGGCCGGCAGCAAGACCACAGCATGAAATCCAATCATCCCATTTAAAGTATATTAAATGAGTCAGAAATTGAAGATCTGTATATATGGCTTTAACCAAAGTGATATATATACCGATACCCTTTATACACCGGAAAGTTCAGAATGATAATTCATGCAATTTGACTGTTGCCATTTTCATTTTCAAACACATCGCAAACTTTAATAGATTTCATTATGAATAATGCTAATAGAGATATACATTAGACTTTTAGAGGAACAGTATAACTGGGGGAGGATATGGGGGGGGGGAGGGGGCTGCAGATGATGGTCATAATTTTGTTGATGAAAATGTAGGGGGATTGGTCATAATAATAGTAATGATAAGAATAATAATAATAAGTCTTGTTTACCCAAGGTAGCCTCATTAGTATACATACTGTTTTTCTCTGAGGGCCCTTCAATCATATCATTACCCCGGCTTTAAAAGGTTTAATTTGAGAGAAAACTTGTTTGAAAGGGGTGTTTGTTTTTAAGATAGAATTATTTGTCAGAGTCACTTTTGTGTGAAGTACATACCCTATTGGGAACATTTTATTTGTATTGAATATATTTGATTTGATTTGTATTTATTGGTATTCATTCGATTATAAAGCCATCAGTGACTGTACATACATGTTTAGAAGGTATCTATTCTGTGCATTCTAAACACTGCCATTTACAGTCGGCACAATCCAATAAACTGCACACTCTGCATGACCTATCCTTAAGCAGTAAACGTCTAGTTTTTGATGAGCTATTTGGACAGATTGACTGATTTAATTGCATTAGATATGCAGGCTATCTTCATCCTCAGGGGAAACACGCTACCTGTATGGCTGCTTGGTCACCAGACCTCAGCTAGACTACATTCCAGGCTAAATATATTATCTGCTTATTTAACTTAATTTGATTTAATTTATTCAATTTTTTTTTTTCGGAGTCTAGATATAAACAATGTAATAGAATCTTCAAAATATAAACAAATTTAATAAGATATCTGTCGGAGGATCTTTAAAACCATATGAATGCTTAAAAATGATATTCACAAAGGATGGTGAGTAGTTTATTCTTCAAGATTTGATTTACATATAGCACCTTATCATTGAAATGGCAGTAAAAAGCAATTCACCTTGTATTAATAATATAAACATGTGGACTTCATAAAAACACATATTTTTGAAATTCATTATGGAATGTCTACCAGTAAACACACTTGACTGAAAAACAAGACTGACCTTCTTGTAAATGGATCGGAATCTATTCCTTGTCCTAGCTGTCTGCTTCATTATGACTTGATGGACCCTGCTCCATTAAAGTTCCAGCAAACGTTTCTAACCTGTGTGCCATATGCCCCTCATATCAGACCGAGACCTCATTCACACATAAGTATTTTGATAATGAGTCTGTGGCTAGTATGAATCGGAATCCATTCCTTGGCCTAGCTGTCTGCTTCATTCTGACTTGATGGCCTCTGCTCCATTAACGTTCCAGAAACGTGTTTAACCTGTGTGCCATATGCCCCTCATATCCGACTGAGACCTCATTCGCACTTGAGTATTGAAAGTATTTTTATAATGTATCTGTGGTTGGTATGGATCGGAATCCATCCCTTGTCCTAGCTGTCTGCTTCATTCTCACTTGATGGTCTCTGCTCCATTAACGTTCCAGAAACGTGTTTAACCTGTGTGCCATATGCTCCTCACATCAGACCGAGATCTCATTCACACTCAAGTATTAAAAGATTGGATTGAATTTATTTTCCTCTGCAACATACAAATCAAACTACCTTTCAGCGTTACAACATATACAAAATATAACAACTTTTTAAGAATGTGAACACAATATAACAATAATAGAAATGTTACCATTAATAACAAAATGAAGATAACTTACAACACACTACCAAGAATTATCCATGAAGAAATCAGCAGGAGGGGGGTGAGGATGGTATGATAACGAAATGTTAAATACTGGTGACGGTGGTAATGATGATGATGATGATGATGGTTATGATGAATATGAATGCGTAAATATGAAATCCCAAGTCTACCAGAAAGCATGCTTGTGTAGAGCATGTTGAGCAGCTCTAGACTACATGTAGGCCTGCTTCCAGTGGGCAGTGTGTGTAGTACTCTTGTAGCCTGTATGCCATAATATGATTTTCATATTTGACTGAGACTCCATTGACACGCACACGCTGTCACAGGAGTGAGAAGAGAATTAAAGGCAAAAATCCAACAGAATTTGTTTTGCTGAAGCATATTCTACAAACTCTGTGTACTCTTCTAGGAGTGTTTGTGTAATGGAATATGAGATATAAGTGTAACTTAAATCAGCAAAAGTAAAATCAATACACATGTAAAATGTAGGATACATCAATACCTCCAATAATTTAGAGTGCCCTATGCATTCTCCACCATCTTATACATCACAAATTCTTCATAAAATATGACAGAGAATCTGTATAGTGTATGGTATGATAATTCAATGTGATTTCTCTTGGAAATAGAAACTGATAATTTAGTTTTGTTTCTGCTTTTTGCTGATGCAATTTTCAAAAGAATGCTTGAAATAATGGCTTTTTATGAGTAATATTACATTGATGGATGAGTGTGTGTTTTCAAATGCTTTACATGTATGTGTAATTATTAAGTTTTAATGGTGGACATGGGTTATGCTTGATTAATTCTGACTGTTTTTTTTTCTTCTTCTTCCTTCTCTTTTGATTCAGGTTGGCTACTCAGACTATGACAACCCAGTTGAATTGACACCTTGTGCCTACACCAACGGAAAACAGAAACCCAACACCAACGTCTTCTTCCCCGCTGAAGCTCAAAGAACGCAAGGTCTAGCGCCCTCTGTAGTCCGAGACTCAAGCGACCCGTCCACCGGTACTAAACCCCTTTCTGGAGGGCAGCTCCGGAAGCTAGAACTTGATCTTGCCAACCGTTCACGGAAGTTTCATGAGTTTGAGGCCGCTGCGGATCACCTTCAGACGAGGTTGGAGAAGTGGCAGGCTCACGTCGAAGAGTCGCACCTGAACCGCGTCAACGAACAAGATATCCAGGGCCACGACCATGGGGATATCTACGAGAATGTGTATCACCGCAGCGACAATACGCGCTTCAGCTACGATGAGCCGAAGAGACTCTACGACAACCCGACGGTACTAAACGGTAACCATCAACGAGTTCTTACAAGACAGAACAGTAGTCCGGCCGGCAGTCCGTCTCAGACGCGACGATCCATCTCACCCCGGAAGCCCAAGAGAGCTCTAACCACGCAACTCAGCCTCAATATTTCCCCGCCGGGCTACGACAACCCGTCGACGTGCTTTCCAAGTTCGGAAACCTCGCAAAGAACGCATCCGCATCAAGACGATGAGGAAGATCGTGATTCACCAACAGGTTACGATAATCCCCCGGAATTAACGCGGGAACAGTCGGTTTACGAGAGCGCACCGCCGAGGAATAGTGAGAGCAACGTAAGACAGAATGCGTGCGAGCCGCCTATCATACCAGAAGTAATACGTCCTGACGATCACCTGCCATTGGATAATAAGTTCATAGAAGGCAACAGCGAATTGGACATTCTTAAACCGGATGCCTCACACCCATTCGCAGGTAAGCTGATTTCTTGTATCTTGTGCTTGTGTATTTTCCCTAATGTTGCGTCTGAAATATGAGTGTTGTTCTTCAAGAACCACTCATGTATTTACGATTCTAACCTGTTCTCCTTTTTTTTAAAGTTAGTTGTGAATACAATGTGTTGTCCATTTAAAGCAGAATATTGCTTAACCAATCTTTATGACATTTTAATTTCACTTCTGCAGTTTTAATTTCATTTGATTTGATTCTAAATGCTGCCATTCATTGTCCATCACTGAGGCAGATTTGAAAGATCGTTTCATCATCCTGCATATTAGATGATAAAGTCACAAACCATATAAGTGCACATGTTGCATACATAGAAAATGGAATGGAAGTGTGCTTTAACTTGTCACTATTAAAACAAAAATGAGAATTTTAAAACAGTAAATCAATTGAACAGTTCACAGTTAGCACATGTCCCAAATGACCCTGCATATATCCACAGATCTTCAAAACATGAAGAGGTCCCACTTTGTACATTTTGAAATAATCACTCCTACAGCGATGGAGGTGCTACATAAAGAGCCTTTGTTTCGCCTTTTCAAACAATACTTCCACCTTTGTATCATGGAGTGCACTGCATGTGCATAAATGAATAATGATTTCATAACTTTCATGAGCACGTATCCAGTATTTCATCTCCATGTATTTCACAATTGTCTGCAATGACCTTTATCTGCTCATGCTCAGACTCCGACTCAAACTATGAACTGGCTTATTGCAAGTGTAATGAAAGGCCAGCGATGGCATCGGAATAACTCTCTTTTGAACTTAAGTCAAGATTGTTAAATGCAGACCTCCTATGATGTGAAAGACACCATGTGTTTGCAAAAATAAGAATTTCATTAGTTGAGTTGCCCCTTGGTATTCCCAAGTACATCTTAATTAAAGCACAAGCAGTCGCATAGAAAGGTGCTCCCACAAAATAGTGTCCCTTTTGGACCAAGAGAATACAAGGGGATTGCATTTCATATTGAAATACAGTCGAATAGAAAGGTGCGCCCACCAGATAGTGTCCCTTTTAAACCAAGAGAATACAAGTAGATTTCATTTCATATTGAAATACAATTAAAGAAACAAAAATAAAATAAATAAATAAAAGAATTGATTGATTGATAAATGCATGGTTAAATAAATAAATACCATAATGAATCAATGAATAATGAATGAAAGTGCAAAGTAGTAAATAAATAGATAAAAAAAACAGATGAATTAATACATAAATATACGAATGAGTGAATAAATAAGTAAATAAATTTACTGCATGACACTCTTTGAAAAGGTGTGCTTTTTGATGAAGTAATAAATAGAGAAGAAATGACAGTTGATAAAATGACACACAGTTCTCTCGTTCATTCCGGAACACGTTTTAATTAAAACACCAATTGTCAAGTGCAAACATGCCTCTCTCTCTAATGAGTTTCCTATGACAACAGATGTGCTTCTGGTCTAATCAATTACCCACTTGAAATAACAGATAACATGACCGTGTTAACAGTCCTTAGTAAATATTGCCTTTGGCTTATACCAGTAGATCTCCATGTACATGTCTGCATGCGCGCTGTGGTCACTTGTTGTAATTAATGAGGGGGTATGTTTGTAGGGTTAGCAGGGGTAATTAGCATGATGGTATCAAAGTTAATTAAACTGCTGTCTTAATTGGTGTGTAACCACCCCCCTTGATGGGACTATGTTATTGATGTGTATCGGCATGTGCTGGTTTCATGGTAATTAAGGTCATTATTAGTAGCTACATGTATACATGAAGGCCTACTACATGTATGTAGCTTGTTAAGTATGATGTAATGTGAAACTGCATTATGCAAGACACGTTTAATAGGGGTTATATATTTTATGGGACTGTTTTTTGTTTTAATTAATTACTTCGGTCATAAGACAAAGGCTTGTTATACAACTTTTCTTTCAGGAACTTTAATTACTTATCATACAGTCATACGCTTATCGCATAGCATAGTCTGAACATTCTGAAAACAATATTCATGCTGGCTCCTGCACTAATCATTAAACAACGACTGTTGCAAGATTTTTCCAGGAATAGTTAAAAGCGTGCACTTATTATATAGCAATAACAGACAGAGATATGATCATTCTACCTGTAATATGGCCTTCTTTTCATGGATAACTTCTTTGGTAAAATTTGGTAAATTTAATCTTCACAAGTTTAATTTTCTCGAAGTCTTTTCTGGATGTTTGCTAAATCCTGTTCCTGTCTATTGATGGACGAGAAACAGGTGGAATCTTTATTTGGAGTTCATTTCCTGATAGAGCCGTCTGTTATGACTATCACAGGTGCATTCATACAGAGGTATACAGGGTTCATGTTAGGGATACATACAGGTACAGGGTTTCTATTCAGACTAATATTAACATGTCAGTCATCCATTTTTTGATTGAAAGGGTGAGATAGAGAGAGAGAGAGAGAGAAAGGGGGGGGGGTAGAAGGGGAAAGAGGAAGGTAGTGTGAAGGAGGGGAGAGAGATGAAGGAGAGAAAGAGGGGATGACAGAGAGATGGTGGAGACTGGGGTAGGGAGAAAGAGGGGTTGGGAAAGGGGGAGGGGAGGGAGGGAGAGAGTGAGGGGTAAGGGGAGAGAGAGAGAGAGAGAGAAAGGGGGGGGGGGGGTAGAAGGGGAAAGAGGAAGGTAGTGTGAAGGAGGGGAGAGAGATGAAGGAGAGAAAGAGGGGATGACAGAGAGATGGTGGAGACTGGGGTAGGGAGAAAGAGGGGTTGGGAAAGGGGGAGGGGAGGGAGGGAGAGAGTGAGGGGTAAGGGGAGAGAGAGAGAGAGAGAGAGAGAAAGGGGGCTAAAGAGGAGTGAGGGAGAGGAAGAGAAGGAGAGATGGAGGGAGGAAAGAGAGAGAGGGGGGATTGAGAGGGGAGGCAGAGAAAGAGGGAACGAGGGAGAAAGGGAGGTTGGAGCAAGGGAGGGAGAGAGGGGATTCCAGGGTCTTTCTTTCCAGAGGGAACACAATCCAATAGGCCACCCATGTTTTGTTGTAATATTAAAAATGTATAATTTTCTGAAAGGACAACAGCTGTTGAACATTACGCATACTAGTGAGTGATTGACAATCATATGTAGACTGGAAAATATTATAACTCAGTACCTAACACATGCTCACACTCAATTATTGCAATAAAATTCACCTGAATCACAACACAGTCAGGAAATGGGAGTTCCATTTATGATGATATTATCAAGGTCAACCATAAAGAATAAAGTTTTTTTGTTGTTCAATTCCAAGGCTCTTCTTAATTAAAAAAAAAGCCAAGATATATACTGGTAGCCATATGCTTGTCAAAGTGAAATTATGAAGGTTGGTTAAGATCTTTTAAAGGCCCACTGCACTACTTGAAGCTACTTGCGCCCTCTATATAACAAACAATGCCTGATCGGTGACCATTGGTCCCCCATGATCCTCTTTTTCTTGTGTTAACTGAGAGCTGAGTTGATAAGATAACCACCTGTCCAGTGACCTTGCAGGGCAGTCTAATCCCTCCTGTAAACTACGGCAGATAAGCTTTAAAAGAAATTGTCAGGTACTTTGAATATCTCTCATTAAAATATATATGTATAACAATATATTTTTTGTTTTTTTATTTATCTGTTTATTAATATTTTGTCCATATATTTCTCACCTTCTTATTTTTAAATTTATGTTCATGTATTTACTCATCTAATTGTCTATCTTATTATTTAGTCAGTCTAAATTTTGACTTAATATTTTTTTGGTAGAAGGGGGGGGGGGGGTGCTCTTCCGTTACCAATATTTGCTCGCAGGAACTAATTTCCTTTAAGCGAGGTTTGATGCATGCTGTGTTTAGTATTCTATCAGTGTTTTACATCAAGATGTTCACGCCTGCTAATCGAGATCAGTCTACTTCTGTCCCAGCGTATTAGTATTACTGTAGATTAAATGTATCTGCCACTCATCGTCAGTGTGCATGTGTTCAGCATATGAAAGGTATTGGAAGGTGACAAGTATTGGCAGGTTTCATTTCAGTCTGGGTACTGTACGCTCCTAGTGAGATACTCGGTGAGATACTGTAGCATTAATGTCACTCATATTCTGGTTGAAAAAAATATAGTCTGAATACAAACTACAAAGATGCTTTGTTTAGAAGGTGAGGTTTTGACCAAAAATGAGTTTCGACCAAAGATATCCAAAATAAAACATCATCTCTTGAAATGCCAACTCTGTTCAAAGAAATAATCCATTTTTTCTAAGGAAGACAGCAAATGATGAAAAGAAAAAAAGATATATTAAAGATAGATTAGAAGACATTACTCTTCCACAAAAAGAAAGAAAAGAAAAATATATGGCTTATAAAGCTATCGCCTCTACCTGTTGGCCTATAATTTTCAGGACTTTATTGGAAAGCATTGATGCACTTTTCAAACTCATTTCACATTTTCAGTCAGAGAACAGAAGCAATAATGGAAGGTTACTCTGCTGTGCTTATTGTAAGCAGTGGTTTGAAACTTTCAAAGGGTTTCTTTGAAACAAGTCAGTTACACAACCAGAGAGAGATAGAATTCAGTTGATATGAGAATCAAACAAGTCAGTAAAGAACAGAAGCAATAATGGAAGATAACTCTTATACTAGCTGCCAAAGGGTTTCTTTGAAATTGAATGAATGTAATAAAAGCGGAACACCTTACCAGGAAAAAAGAGAGAAGGAATCGAGTCAAATTAGAAAAGCTGCCCCATTCTTTATACCTTTGGAATGAAGAATGCCTTACAGTCATCTTTATTGGCATTTATGACCCCTAGTAAATGAAGAATTGAAAGGGTCGCGTGTGCAGCTAGCCCACTACTTCTATCTATCATTACCTATCCTCCCACCACCAGCATCCACTTCTTTACCATCCTCCTAATACGCCTGAAGCGCTTATCTAGCGTCAGCCGCGAAATTAAAGTCGGCAGACCCCGAATTAATCAAAATGATGTAC